AATTTGAAATATATTTGGTGTTTTAATGGAAATACTAAAAAACACATAAAAACATGCATTTTGGATTTCAGTTATTCGTCATTTCCTGGAAGAAATCTAGAATACCGACCCTTCAGCTATGCAAAAACGAAAAATGAAGATCAATAGAACTTTTTATGCTCATTTCAACCATGCCAAAATTATTTGGCGCAAGTGAAAAATGAAGACGTTCTCCAGAAGCTTAAAGTTCAGTTTTTAGACTTTTTTAATATTAATATCTTATGAACTATGTAACCGATTAAAGAATTAATGACGTCACCATGAAGATAATTAATTTTTCTTTCAGCTGATGTACATAATTTATAGCTTTTTGTATTTTTAAACCCAAACCACTAAAAACGAAAAAATGTTATTTTTTCATGAAATAACCTTTTTTGAAAAATCTGCATAATTAATGGTAAAGAAATTTATATTATTTAGAAAGTACATGTTATTACCTTTAATTCGATATTACATATTTTGTCATGATCTGCAAATAAACAAAGCAAATAAACCTCTTATATCTTCTTTATTTTTTACCTGCGCCAAATAAATTTGGTATCGTTGAAATCAGCGTAAAAAGTTCTATCAATCGGCATTTTTGGTTATTTTATAGCTAAACGGTCGCTATTCTACACTTGTTCTAGAAAATTACACAAACGAAGGTGATGCCAACGAATATTTAGTATGAAGAATTTTCTGCACAAGTAAAGGAGCCGATTTTATGTGTGGAAGCGAGAAGACTGCTTTATTACAAATCCTTTCTATTATTGAATCATGCCTTGTAATGTTTTTATCATGGTTTTCCTTATGATTAATTTTTCCAATAACACAAAATTTTTTTAGAACGAGGTGCCTATAGCTCCACTATCAATCAAAATAAATACTGCTGGATTACTCTCTTTGGACACATCGCCTTTTGCTCCTAAGCGAGTAATAACGTATTATTTTATTGCTCACTTTGGCTCCTAAACAAATAATAAAGAAGTAAAAATCGACAAAAATCGTTTACTGCTCCAAAATCATGCCTCTGGTAGTATTATTTTGGTGCTCACTTAGGAGATCTCCGATTTGACTACTAAGCGAGTTATAAAGGAGGTCAAAACCGACAAATCTCTCCTATTGCTCCGAAATCAGGCCAAAGGGAGTAAACTTATATTCCTCACATTGGGAGATATCCCTTCAAGTTCTAGTGGCTACCTACTCGGCTACGACAGTCAAAAGCTTTTTTTGCTTTTAAATTCATATTTTTCATATGTGACGATTGAATTAGTTCCACTCATGTGGAAACCAGTTCCCCTCATGTGGAAACCAGTTCCCCTCATGTGTAGAGCTTTTACTTGACAAAAATCTTGATAAAATGTCTTTACAAATAATTTATCAAGAAAACACAGAATTGAGCGGAATATGTATATGTGACCTGGTCTACGAAAAGGGAGCTTACGTGCGAAAACTAGTTTTCTGTGAAAAAGCTGTTAAAAGTAAGCAACTCGTTTCGTTTACTCGTTTTTACTCTTCTTTCTCTACATTTTTAGTACACTTCTAAGCAAGTTAGGATTTTCTGCTTTTCACCACGTGAAAAAGCATCTCATCTTCCATCCGAATCAACCAAAAAGTGAAAATTGATTTTTTAACACCTAAGCCCCCTTTCCGTAGACCAGGTCACATCTGTGCATAATAAAATGTATATATACATATACATATGTGGCGAAAAGGATTTAATATACAATGCCGGACAAAAGTATTGGCACAGAAAATTTTTCGCATTGCATGCAATGCAAGGATGCATTGTAACGTTAATTTTAGCGTTTACCAAAAAAAGCAATGAAACGATTCAGTTATTTATCGTTTAGGTAATTTAGTTTAGGTAATAATAATTCTATTTTGGTTTTTAACGAAAAGAAATTCAATCGTTAATGCGGAAGTTGTAGCATGCATTTAGGTGGTAGGTATTAATAGTGAGCTGGCAATGGCATACAACAATAACTTTTCGTTGATTTATTTCGTTTCAACGTTAATGATTGGGTTTTGTTTCGTTAATTTAGCTCTGAAACGAAACGGAATTATGTTGATAAGTTATTTTTGCGCATCAACAAAACAAAATCGATTCATATAGTTTGTTGAGCATCTCTGATGTAATGTTTTTATACCCGAACGCACTTGTGCACAGGGTATTATAACTTTGTTCGCATAACGGTTGTTTGTAAGTGCCTAAAGGTATCGGTATTTTCGAAAAATTCAAAAACTATGATATTACAGTAAATATTGGATCCAAATTGTTGAAAATGATGAAATACTGTATCTTAGTAGCCGCTTCACCAATCCTTACCAAACTCGGTACGAGCCTTGCTTAAGATCCAGCTAAGAAATTTGTTGAAAATCTTTGAAATCGGGCAATAGTCACGCCCACCTCCAATATGACGGTAATTTACAGAAACACGAAAACCGCGATAAATCAGTAACTAATGAAGCTAATTGACTCAAAATCGATTATTGCGATGACCGCTGAGCAGAAAGTTAGATTATTATAAATTTTTGGATTTTAGGCAGGGTTCCGCTCTCTTATGACCAAAAATGTGTATCTCGGTAACCGATTTATCAATTTCTACCAAACCTGGTGTATTTAATAACCTTGGTACGAAAAAGCCATACGTTGAAAATTATTCACATCGGACTAAATTGCACCCGTTTCCCGTATAACGGTAATTTTCGGATATACGAAAACTCCGATATTTCAATAACTGAGGACTCCAAGTTAATACTTACAACAATCTCTTAACAATAAATACATAGGCTTACTTAGGTAGTTTAAAGAAATTTGGAACGACGATAATTGATACCTGCGCCGGGTATATAAAATTCGGTTTCGCCAGAACTTTTACTTCTCTAATTGTTTACTCTAATCTCTTTTCGCAAATTTTTTATAAAACTACATACTACAACGAAAAATATAAAAATAAAATCTTTAGACTTTGTGCAAACGCCACGAAAACTCAATAAATTTGCGTACTAATTTGCAACTCTCAAATCACATTTTTTTAGAAAAATTTTAGTATAATAAAATGCACGTTTGAAGTTGCTAAAAACCGCGTCGACGTTTGGCTATTTTTCTTCACGCAGTTTCTCCCATACAATGTATGTTCGACCAATATCTTTGTATGGAACAAAATAATAGCACCGTTGAAATTTTGATTTTAAAGTCGCAAATTAGTATATGCAAATTTATTGTATTTTTCTGAGTTTTGCACACAGTTTTGATATTTTTGTTTTTTGTTGTATGTTGTATGAACTATATTTTTATAAAAAATTAGCGAAAAGAAATTATAATAAAAAAACCTTGCATTCATTGCGAAAAATTGTCTGTGCCAATATTTTTGGCCGGCGCTGTATATTAAATTCAAGAGTATAATTCCCATGTTATTAGTATGACAATTGCAATGAAAAGAGTGAACAATATTTGTTCGTTTACAATCAGCCTCATTGCGTAAGTCGTAAATTAGGCTAAATTATACGACTCGACAACATTGGCTGTAGTTGTATTTTCGTATTCTCCAGCAAAAAATATCCAGTAACTTGCCAGTAACCAAATTTCGGAGAGTAAGCCAATATTTATTCCCAATGAGTGAAACATGCAAGAAAGTACGAAAACGCAAAACCAGTAAGAAGTTGCTAGTTTTATGAACAGCTGATTAATTTGTTATTTTCCGATGCAATTTTCTTAAAAAACTAGTGTTTTCCATCTTATTATATATTTAAATAGGTTTATTTTGTCCATTGCAACTCTAAAGGCACCACAAACAATTATTTTCTTAATGTGTTTTACAATAAGCATCATGCCATCAGCTGTTTTTCTTACTAGCAAATAGTTGCTTGTAAAAATTTATCTAGGAAAAATTTAGTAAAACTTGCAAGTTCAGCTGTCATTTTTGCTCTCTCAATTTCCCCTCTTTTGCTAGTTTCTTGCAAGTTTTTGCGTACGAAAACGACATCCAGTAAAAAAACCAGTAAAGTTAGTACTGGATTTACTGGATAGTGCGTACGCGAACAGGACTATTGTTTACTGTCGTGCTGATATAAGTAAACGACGAAAATCGTCGAAAACTATGCAGTACTGCCAAGTTTTTCCGTTTTAATACACTAGTCGAGTGGAAATTTTAGGCAATGACATGAAATTTTCGATACGATTCGACTCTCGAAAAACGACTTGTATTCGACACGACTCTCGCAATGAGGCTGAATATAGGTGTTCACCAAATTGAGCAAGTGGCCTGGCACTCGACATAAGAGCAGATTAGCTCAAGCAACGACTGTTGACAACTGTTCGGTGAATATCCCTTATAATTTGTCAAAAGCAGTAGTGTAGGGATTAAGTGTCAGACCAGAGTACAAATATAAAAGAAATAATTTTGAATACTTATATTAATATGCTTGAATATTTTTCAATAAAGGTAAAAAAGGGTTCCTTATTCTATAAATAATTAGGTCGAAAGAGAAAAAATACGTAACAGCCCAAAAACTATTTATTTTAAACTAAATATGTATGTAAATATTAGGAAAGTTGTGAAGATATGGAATCAGAGACATAACAGTTATAAGTTTCATCGCAAAAACGTGGCTCCATAACAGTTATTAGATGGGAAATAAAATTCCGATAAGAGTTACAACCCAACGTTTTATTTTTTACGTTGCTTGATAACAGTTTATGAAACAACGTTTCCGTTAAATTTCAGAATTCAATTTACAAATTCGAGATAACATTTATTTTAGTCCCTGTAAAGATTTATTTTTTAGCGGATATTGTCTACTAATAAATTGTATATTTGTATGTAAATACTAGTCATGCGTATGATATTTACTTATTAACGCTAACCGCATGTCTTTTTTGCATCCCCTTCTGTGCTTTAACCCCATCATTCGAACACATCCATTTGCACATTTCAATGAACACACATAAAAACAAAACAACATCATACCATGTTCAGTCGCCCAATAAAACAACTTCTTCATCCATCGATGTCTGTGCCAAAAATCGCGGGAATAAAACGGCGGCACCAAATGGTAACCAGTTCAATCAACGTAAGAATAACAATATTGCCCATCAAGAGTCAGTCTCACTACAAGTACGCGATTCCAATACATCTTTGATTATCATCGATCAGGATGAATTAAATAACCACAACGAATCACAAGTCATCCAAAAGATAATCGAGGAGTATGAGAGGCGATTGCAAGAGCAGTTGGCTTTGGCCCGCGAAGATATTGTGCGTGAGTTAGAAGGTCAGATACAGGTAAGTGGATAAAGAGATAGACGCATTCGTTTTAATATTTTTATAGCATTTAATTGTGGCTTGCAAATTTGTTGAACATTGAATGTTTTTTAATACTTTATAAAAGCTAACCGATCGAAAATTAAGCTATCTACAGTTTTTTAAACTAATCTATAATTGAGGAAAAGCAACAAAGGATTAAAAAAGATCTTAAAGGCTTCTACTAAAACAAATAATTGAGAGTTTGATTCAAATATTTATGAAATCATACGTACGTATACATGTTTGTATGCATATGTAAATGTTAAATGGTTTTTAAAGCAATCTTGTACTTGAATCTTACACCCCTATTGCGAATGTCGACTAGCAATAGATAAACGACTATTAAGCGATTATCGATGCTATTGTGAGTGTCGCTTAGTCGCTCAATTAGCGACTGTGAATACTTTTTAATCGCTCATCCTTCTATTGCTGTTTTTTAGTCGTTGGAGTATGCGTTTATAAAATTTACATAAGAAAGTGGTACTATAAGGGATAAAAAGTAAGCCAATTGAACTGCATGTTGTAAAAATTGTGAAGTATGCATATGTAAGTATATTTGTAAGCAACAAAACGCAACTTGCGCGGTTGGTTGAGCTGATACAGGAGAATGAGAACATAGGCAAAGGAATTTTCGGGAAGAGTAGGGGCTCCGCTTCTATTGTGAAATACATACACACCCCTATTGCGAATGTCGACTGGCAGTAGATAAACGACTATTAAGCGATTATCGATTATCGATGCTATTGCGAGTGTCGCTTAGTCGCTCAATTAGCGACTGTGAATACGTTTTAATCGCTCATCCTTCTATTGCTGTTTTTTAGTCGTTGGAGTTTGCGTTTATAAAATTTACATAAGAAAGTGGTACTATAATGGATAAAAAGTAAGTCAATTGAACTGGAAGTTGTAAAAAATTGTGAAATATACATATGCATGTATGTATGTCTGAATTACAGATCAAAAATTATAAGCAACAAAAGGCAACTTGCGCGGTTGGTCGTACTGATGCAGGAGAGTGAAGACATAGGCAAAGGAATTTCCGGAAAGAGTAGGGTAGGAAGCTCCGCTTCTATTGGAAAAGATACATATACAATGTTTCTTGTGCATATAACTCCGGCTACGCCATCCACAGTGTTTTTGCGCAGGACCAACATCAAAAGTTTATACAAAAAAACTGCATAATTTATTAATTGACTAGTGCTCGGAAATTTGAAATCTTTATTTTAAATTAAAGTTTAATTCTTTCAATACACTTGTTATGTTGTTATGTTAAAGTTTTTAAACTCGGGTCACGCATTTGGACACAAAAACCCATCATCATTGTACAAAAAACTTAACCGTACCGTATTTCTTAAACTTCCATAAAGTTTATTAATGAGGAAAACAGCTTTTCCTGCAAATCATGTAAAGCCTAAAAACCGTGAAGCATCGGGAACGCAACTTCTATTCAAAAAACTCACACATGTACATACACCTTCCAAGTCCAAGGGATCCGACGAATCTCGCAATTCCCTCCTTGCTTTAGCCAACTCTACTAATCTATTAGCTTCCGCATCATCTTCCTCATCACTAAACCATATTTCAACTGTGTCCATTTTTTAAATTTTATAGTAAAATCAATTATTTTAAAAATGATGTAAATAAAACACTCAAGAAACAAATGTAAACAAACAAACAGCTGTTTACAATTCTGTCAACCATTCACAATAGTACAAATTTTTATCGATCAAGTTACACAATAGCAAAATAAAAGATGATCGACTCGATCGACAAATTTCTATTCTACTGCCAGTCGACACTCGCAATAGGGGTGACAATATTTCTTGTGCATATAACTCCGGCGACGCCATCCACAGTGTTTTTGCGCAGAACCAACATCAAAATTTACAAAAAACTGCATAATTTATCAATTAAATCGGAAATTTGAAATCTTTGTTTTAAATTAAAGTTTAATTCTTTCACTACACTTGTATGTTAAAGTTTTTAAACTCGGGTCACGCGTTTTTACATAAATACACAACATCATTGTACAAATAACTAAACCATACCGATTTCTTAAACTTCCATAAAGTTTATTAATGAGGAAAACAGCTTTTCCTGCAAATCCTGTAAAACCTGCAAACCGTGAAGCATCTGGAATACAACTTCTATGCATAAAATTCACATATGAACATACACTTCATGTTCCAACTCCAAGGGAACCGACGAATCTCGGAATTCCCTCCTTGCTTTAGCCAACTCTACTAATCTATTAGCTTCAACTGTATCCATCTTTACCGACCTTTTATTAGCTCGGGATGTAACTATGTAATATTGATGCGCCTAAAAGATGCAGCGATTTCTATTCTCAAGTTACATACCTGATGACAGTAAGAATGGAAATTATAACAGCGAGTTTTTAGTTTTTTAAACTATAATTTTATTTAAATGTTATAATAAAAGCAATTATTTATAAAATGATGTATATGAAACACTAAAGAAACAATTGTAAACAAACAAACAGCTGTTTACAATTCAATCAACCATTCACAATAGTACAAATTTTTATGGATCAAGTTACACAATAGCAAAATAAAAGATGATCGACTCGATCGACAAATTTCTATTCTTCTGGCAGTCGACACTCGCAATAGGGGCTTTAATTTTAAATCATATTGCTTGTTAATTGCATTCAGTTATTTTTATACCTTTCATGAGAATGAAATGGTATTATAACTTTGGTCCGATGTTTGTAAGTACCAGAATAAAAAGAGATAGACCCATTAAAATGTATACTTATATGATCAGAACGTCGAGCTGAGTCGATTTAGCCATGTCCGTCTGTCCGTCTGTCTGTCTGTCCGTGTGTTTGTATGCAATCTAGTCTCAGTTTTCGAGATATCCGGATAAAATTTGGTAGGTGGGCGTATTTTTATAATGTATTAATCATTTGTCGGAACCGGAAGAATCGGACCACTATAACATATAGCTCCCATACAACTAATTGTTCAGATATGCGATTTTTCGTTATAACTTCTCCATTTATGCAGCTAGGAACATGAAATTTTGCAGTACTTGCACCCATTATCAACAGAATACTAACAGTGAAAATTACAAAGATCGGGTCGGTATAACCTATAGCTCCCATACAACTGATTGTTCAGATATAAAATTTTTCGTTATAACTCTTCCATTTATATAGCTAGGAACATGAAATTCCGCACTGTTTTCAATAATTATCAACAGAAACTTACAGTGAAAATTAAAAAGATGGGGTAACTATAACCTATAGCTCCCATACAACGGATTGTTCAGATATGAGATTTTTCGTTATAAGTCATCCATTTATGTAGCTAGGACCATGCAATTTCGCGCTGTTTTCACTCATTATCAACAGAAGACTTACAGTGAAAATAACAAAGATCGGGTCACTATAACCTGCAGCCCCCATACAACTGATTGTTCAGATATTAGGTCTTTTATCATAACTCCTCCATTTATGCAGCTAGGAACATGCAATTTCGCACCATTTTCACTCATTATTAACATAATACTTACAGTGAAAATAACAAGGATCGGGTGACTATAACATATATGTATCTTCCATACATCTGATTGTTCAGATATGGGATTTTACTGTAAAACTCCTTTATTTGAACAGCTTAAACCGATAAATTTCGTAAGATATTTTATAAATAATAATACAAATTCTACTGAGAAAATCGTCAAAATCTATGCTGTATACGCTTTATCTCCTATACCACTGATTGTTCAGATACCAGTTTTTGCGATATATCTCCTTTATGTAGGAAACTGCACCCAATAAATTGTGTTACCGGTTTACATACCGATCACATAGCAGTGAAAATCACTTAGATTGGTGCTATGTAAGGTATATCTTCCATACCTCTAAATTGTTTAGATGCGATTTTTTATATAAGTATGTAACTCCTCTATCGATATATGCATATGTATTCAAAAGCAGTAATCTGTCAAAGTAAAATTTGCAGATGTTCATGAAAGGTATGAAGCCTTCGGCATAGCCGAAGACAGCGCTGCTCTTACTTGTTTTCACCTTACCAATTTTCACTCTTCATACTTACAAATCTAATATGTTTTTCTTTTTTGAATTTAGTTCTTTGTTCGCTTTTTATTTATTTTTAGTATTTTTTCGCGTGCATGAAGTGTGCGTTTCTGTGGCGTATTAATATTAATCGTAAAACCTGACATCAAGAGGAGAGATCGCTATCGGGCTATGACATTAAATTTGATATTTGCCTTTTCTATAATTTTTATATTTATACAGACCCTGCAGTCAAATTTACTAGTTGTAAACTACCTCACAACTAGTATGAACCGCATGCCCAACTAGTCAGCCAACTATCTTTTTCAATACAATCAACTGGTATTTTTAACATGACAGCCCCATTACCCTAAGAGATGGTAATTGTCAGATTTCGGTCAGATATATACCCGTCTCATACTAGTTCAAAATGGACAGAAAAATACTAGTCCAATTATGGATCGAAACAACTACTTTGGGAGTCAAAAACTAAAATGAATTCATGAATATATAAAAAAACGTTTGATTAAGTACACTTTAATATATTAAACATTTTTATTTAGCAGCCTTAGATATGCCAATAATTAGTGTTGATTTTTTGAGTATTAATTAAAAGGAGAAATAAATACATAAATATTTCCAAAGTTTCGAACATAAATTTAAATGCATCTTTCATTAAATGGTATTAAAAGTAAAAGCTTTCAGGTACAATAAATACTATATTTTACATCTTTTTTAATTATATTAAATATGCAAAAAAAAATTTAAGTTAAAAATAAGTGTGGACTTAAATAAAAATATAAGTTTTCATTAAATTAAATTAAACTCACTAACTTTGCGCATTTCAGTCCTTTCTTTTTAAAATTTTTAAAAAGTAATAATTAACGCTTAAAATTTGAGATTTGGATAAGAATTAAATAAATACATAATTAATGCAGTT